GCCATCAGTAGTGCGGTAGTTTGGCTCAGACTCTGGGGCCTCCCTAACTCTCTTGAGCAGATCACTATAGATATGGTCCTATGCATAGGCCTCTCTAACTTTCTGTTGCAGGTCTCTCCCTATATCCTGATAGTGAACTATTGCCCCAAAGTAATCAGCTCTTCTACTCAGAGCGTCCGCTACTACATTGTACTTCCCTTTAACTGGTTTTAGTTCAAAGTCATACTGGTCTAATTTTGCGGCCCACCTAGTAAGATTAGGTGTCATCTTGGCCTGAGTCTTCAGCCACCTTAGTGTCTCGTGGTCTGAGTAGACTTTGAAGTGCCTCTCAAGCAAGTAATGTTTCCAGTGCTCTAGTGCTTGCCTGAGATCGTTGAGTTCGCTCTCATAGGTTGATGTCGCCACCTTCTCTGAAGGCATTCTGGCAGACATAAACTCTACGGGCCTATATCCATTGCCATCATCTTGCTGTAAAACAACACCTATGCCATACTGACTTGCGTCGGTGGTAACAATGAAAGGCAGGGACGGATCGGCTACCTTAAGGACTGGATACTCTATCAATGCTCGCTTTAGCTTCTTTAGGGCTGACTTACAGTCCTTGTGTCACTCCCAAATTGCTTCTTTCTTTAGCAACCTGCGAAGGGGTGCAACGATGGTGGAGAAGTTCCTGACGAACTTCCTATAGTAATTAGCTATGCCTAAGAACGACTGCAACTCTGTCAGTGTGCGGGGCATTGGCCAATCTCTAATCGCTCCAATTTTGTTATCTTCAGATCTAACGCCGTCTCCGTCTAGGACGTGGCCTAAGTACAGAACTTGGGTCTTAGCCCATTCACACTTCTTCGCGTTGATCTTGAAGTTAGCTTCTTTCAACTTCTCCAAGACCTGCCTCAGATGACCCTCATGCTCCTGGAGGGTCTTGCTAAAGACTAAGATATCATCTAGATACACCACTACAAATCTATCTAACCACGGCCTAAACAAGTCGTTCATGCAGCGCTGGAAAGTCGTTGGCGCGTTGGTTAGTCCAAAGGGCATAACTATAAACTCATAGTGCCCATATCTAGTCCGGAATGTTGTCTTGTACCGATCATCAGGATGAACCTCTATCTGATGATAACCGGACTTTAAATCTATCTTCGAAAAATACTCGCAGCCCTGCACCCGATCTAACAAATCATCTATACGGGGCAGTGGTTCGGCATTCTTCACTGTAATAGCATTCAAACCCCTATAGTCTATACACATTCTAAGCTCTCCCTCTTTCTTGGGGACAAAGAGAACAGGTGCTCCAAATGGGGATGAACTGGGCCTAATCCAACCCTTCTCAAGAAGCTCGTCTAACTGCTTACGTAGCTCCTCTAACTCCCTTGGGGACATTCTGTACACAGCTCCCTTAGGAGCCCTACTGCCAGGCTCTATCTCAATGCGATGCTGAATGGGCCACGACACTACTCC